AGGTGGCTCCTAAGCCTCTTTTAGAGGCACTTTTATAGATAAAAGAAGATTTAAGATATGGGCCATTATCTCTAACTTTTAAGGGCCATAGATGACATTATATACATCACACACACACACACACACACACACACACACACACACACACACACACACGCGATTTTCTCGGAAACTATAGGAGTTAGAGGAAAATGTTAAGTACAAAAGTTGTAGGGTTTCAACCAATCTATCAACTGGTCACCCTTGTTTGACCTTGATGAGTACCGTGGAGGTCATGTGGAGGTCAAGATGATTTTTTTAAATGGGACACCCGGTATTTGGTAAGGTCATGTGAAAGCTGGTCCCGAGCCCTTTCCAAAACCCTGGGCATGAGCCCTTGCAACCCCCTGGCGGTGACCTTGAGGCGAGTATTAGTGTTTGCATGGCAAAAGTTCGGACACGGCCGATTATTTCGCAAACGGTGGGTATGATGGAAAAATGTTTCGAATAAAAGTTGTAAAACTCCATAAGACTTACCGAATGGACTACGCTGATTGACCTTGACACGTACCGTGGAAGTCACGTGGAGGTCAAGATGATTTTTTTAAATGGGACACGCAGTACTCGGTAAAGTCATGTGAACGCTGGCCCCGAGCCCTTTCCAAAGCCCTCAGCTTGGCCACTTCACCTCGGTCGCAACGGCGACTGTTCGCCGATCTCCCAACCAAGATGATGGAAGACCGTAGTTTTTCTAACAAACTTTCCCTAACCGGAGCGTTATCCCACGACTGAATAATTGGCCCTAAACAGAGCAGTTTGTTTTGTGTACGCTTCCAATTGCGCTCACTCTCTTCTCTGACCATTCCGGCAAGGGCACTCCCACCCGTCCTCACTCTTCACAATCTTCCTTCCAATTAGATTCCTTCCGAGGTGAAGTGGCCGAGCTGAGGGCTTTGGAAAGGGCTCGGGGCCAGCGTTCACATGACCTTACCGAATACTGGGTGTCCCATTTAAAAAAATCATTTTGACCTCCACGTGACCCCCACGGTACCCGTCAAGGTCAATCAGCGTAGCCCATTCGGTAGGTCTTATGGAGTCTTACAACTTTTATCCGAAACATTTTTCCATCATACCCACCGTTTGCGAAATAATTGGCCGTGTCCGAACTTTTGCCATGCAAACACTAATACTCGCCTCAAGGTCACCGCCAGGCGTTGGAAGGGCTCATGCCCAGGGTTTTGGAAAGGGTTCGGGACCAGCTTTCACATGACCTTACCAAATACCGGGTGTCCCATTTAAAAAAATCATCTTGACCTCCACGTGACCTCCACGGTACTCGTCAAGGTCAAACAAGGGTGACCAGTTGATAGTTTGGTTGAAACCCTACAACTTTTGTATTTAACATTTTCCTCTAACTCCTATAGTTTCCGAGAAAATCAGCCATGTCCAGACTTTTCGGACACCCTGTATACATACATATATATATATATATATATATATATATATATACAGGGTGTTCAAAAA